AGCTTAGTGGAACTTAACCTTATGAGCAGGAAATCATTTCTCAAAAATAAATACTTATCGGAAATGGCGAGTTATTTGCTCATTCCCTTCCCCACAAGGAGAACGTTTACAGGTCAAAAGAAGTAAAGTCTTACCGCAAAACTCACCAAAAGTAATATTTTTTTTATGGGAAAATCTCAAAACTTATAAAATAATTACAGTTCTGACGTCTAAAGACCATTGATGAGGCCTTAGATAGTGAATATTATATCACATTATCTAGTCCATTTATTTTATTTTAAAAATAAGTATTTATGGATTTACAAAATCTACACCATTATTTTAATTTCAAAATTTATAATCAATGTTGAAATTTGATGGATCCACAAAATCTATGCCAACTTTTAGTGCCAATTTAAAAAAAATTAATTTTACAGTCAGAATGGAGATTTCAGCCCGAAGTGCTTTGCAAATGAAGATGGGTTTTATTTTTCCTAGGCCATATACAAAAGCATCCCTTCCCAAAATGAGGTCCGTTTTGGGGGGCATTTTGGTTTTTTGGTCCCTTTTCAAATAAGAATTCTTGATGACCATTGATTTGCTAGCGCCGTGATATGTCCTACTCAGCATTCAGACCCTCAGTTCTCCACAATTATCTGCACTATCCCTACTCTGGTTTTGCTAAAGAGGTAAAGAACCTATGCATATCAGGCAGATTAAAAGAAGCAATACAAAAGTTATGGAGGAAAGGTCCATTAATGGTGAGCTCTGATTCCTATGCCTCTCTTTTACAGGAATGCATCAATCTAAAAGCTTTTAAACTTGGCCGAATGGTCCATGCTCACATGGTGGTTAATGGGTTCTCTCCTGATCAATATCTAAGAACCAAATTGGTTATTCTCTATACTAAAAATCGTGATTTACGAACTGCACACCAGTTGTTTATTAGAATGGAAGAGAGAAGTTTAGTTTCATGGAATTCTATGATTTCGGGTTATGTTCAAATCAGTCGATTCGAAAAGGCTCTAGAGCTCTTTTTTAATATGCAATTGAGCAGTTTGGTACCTGATCAGTTCACTTTTGCTCCTGTCTTTCGAGCTTGTGCTCAATTGGCCATGCTTGAACAAGGTAGAAGAATCCATGCAATTTCTATTAAGAGAGAGACTAAGGACAACTTGGTCATTGCTACTGCACTCATTGACATGTATTGCAAGTGTAGTAGCTACGAGGATGCGCGTTTGGTCTTCGATAGGATGCATGAGAGGAATGTAATTACGTGGACTGCCCTTATAGTGGGTTATGGCCAACATGGGCGAGGGGGAGAAGTTTTCAAGCTCTTTAGAGAGATGGTAGATGCTGGTTTTAAGCCCAATTATATTACGTTCTTGGCTATTCTATGTGCTTGTAGCCATCGTGGGTTGGTCAATGAAGGTTTAGAATATTTTGATTTAATGGTTCAACATTATAAGATTAGGCCTAGAGCTGAACATTGTTCAGCCATTGTTGACCTTTTGGGGCGAGCAGGTAGGGTAAATGAGGCCTTTGAATTTGCAGAGAGGTTGGCTTTCTTGGATCACTCTGTTATTTGGGGTGCTTTGCTTAATGCTTGTAAGATTCATGGAAATTTGGAGCTTGCAAAGGTAGCTGCAAAAAGGCTTTTTGAATTGGATCCAAGCAATGCAGGTAAATACGTTGTGCTATCAAATGCATATGCTGATAATGGGCTGTGGAGAGATGTTTCAGTTGTAAGAGAAATGATGAGAATTAATAGAGTGAAAAAGGAGCCTGGGTATAGCTTAATTGAGGTGAGGGAAAAGGTGCATATGTTCCTTGTTGGGGACAAAAGTCATAGAGACACAGATACGATCTTAGCTGTGGTCAGAGAGCTTGCAGACCAATTGAAGTATGCAGACTAGTTTCTTTATATTAATGCATCCCAAATAGAGAAGAAAAGTTGAGCTATGTTATGCTCTCTCTCTCTCTCTGAGAGGAAGATTCTTTTTCTTTTCAATGTGCCATAGACAAAAGCGATAATTCTTCTAGATCTAGAACTTCTCTAGCATCACAAATTCAGGGAGAGGAGAGGGGCAAGGGAAGGGGTGACAAAGAAAGGTAAGCCATGCCTTACCAATGCTCATGGATGGAAAATGATAAACCATGCTATTGAACTTCTCTAGCATCACAAATTTTGTTTTTGGGGGGAAGGGAGGAGGGAGGGGATGTTTGAGAAAGAAAGGTAAGCCAGGCATCACAATGACTAAGTCATATAAAACTTGGAGATGCTACTTTACTATATCATCTCTATTATACAACTTATTTGTCCAATCTAGCTCTTAAATGCAAGAGATGGAAAACCTCTAAGGTGCCTTAAGATGATAAAGAAAACTTCTTCTTCATCCGAATAAACATTTATGGGATCGTATACAATGAGCACACTATATAATTTTTCTACAATATTTCACACCCTCCCAAATTGTCAGATGTGGAAAGTGGCAGTTGGAATGTTCAATTTATCCGCTCATTGGCTTTGGAGAGTGTGAAATGCTATTTTAAAAATGTAGTGAACTCATTGTACAATTTCCCACCATTTATTGCCTAATGAGGAAAAAAACTTTTTACGCACTCTCTCTTCAGTGATATGAACCAGGAGTTTCATATGCCTCTGGTATTACTGTGTGGAGAAGGCATCCATCCTGTCGGTCTGAATCAATGGATGATGCTGATGAGGAAGAATTGTCTTCATATTGTCTTTCCGCCTCTTCAATCTTCTCTAAAACCTCTGTAATATTTGGTCGATTTTCTGGCAATTTGGATACACATCTTAATGCTACATTTAGTAGAGGAAATGCCCACTGTTTGCCTGCCTTTGCAACCTCTTTATCAAAAACTTCACCAGTCCATTCCTCGCTCACCATTGATTTAACCCATTTTGGAAGGTCCACACCTGATTTTGCTACTGTTTTTCCTGTTAAAAACTCCAGAAGAATGACCCCAAAGCTATATACATCGGACTTTTGAGTCACTTTTCTTTCAGGTGCTCTGTAACCATTTGAGGAATAAAGGCAAGACCTTCTTGGATCGAAGAAGTGTTGAAAACCATATTCACTGATGCAGGGTTCTTCGTTTTCATCAAGAAAAATGTTTGAAGGCTTTAGGTTTCCATGGGGGACGTTATCCATATGAGCTTCTCTGTACAAATAGTCCAAACCTCTCACAATACCACAAGCTATTGAAAGCCTGAGGCTCCAAGGGAAATCTCTGTTACCTTCTACATAATCTGCACAAAGAAAGCCACTGAAGAGTTATTTAGACTTGAGAGAGAGAGAGAGAGATTTTCAAGGAAGCCAAGATGGTTTGGTCATACTTCAAGGCAAGTTAATCTGAACTATTGAGAAATTTAAAAAGAGAATTTACACTGGTAAATAACATTCTTGTGGAATGAAACATAGATGGGTCTGATCATATTCAAAGTGCAGTGACTCAGATTCATATAGATATTTAGCTATGTTACCTAGATACGGACGCGGGAGCCTGAATCTGATGCATGTCTAAGTGTCTAATGCTTCGGCCTTGGAAGCCAATACGGCAAGACACAGGCTTATGATTACCATGTAATATTAAAATCATAGATTTTTATAATATAGCAATAAAAATTATACATTTATACTTAGATGTGGTTGGTGCAGTGATAGATCAAACCACAAGACATCTTGGGTTCAAACACCACCCTTGTACCTTATACATTTTTCTAGTATCATGTGCTTGGAAGTGATGACACGGTTTCCAAGTGTTGACATGCCATACTTCTGCAAGAATGAATTATTTGGACAACACAACTATTTAGTTAGAGAGAAATGCAAAGAATATGATCATGTTTGTCAAGGAAATCAAGATAGGTGAGGTCATATTCAATAAGACCATTTACCTTTGGTATAAAAAGGATGTCAATCGTTGTTGTAAGATGTGAAATCAAATGGCTGGGAGCGTGCCATTGATTGCACTCAAAGTCCAAGAAATTTATCTCGGACTTTGTGTAGAGAAATGACACACCCCCTGCTGCCTGATTCACATCTACCATCTAAATTTTATTGTGACTTTCTTGTACTAAAGAATTGTTCCATAGAGTAGGCATCTAACAGTATTCGTCAAGGAACCCAAGATGTGCCTCGTCATATCAAAATTACTTTTAGGTATTTAGAGAAATAAATTCTGTTATAGAACAGAGAACTCAAGATGGGTCCTGTCATGTTCAAGCAAACTTACTCCTAGCAACTTAGAGAGAGCAAAACCATATTAGGAAACAGAGTTTGAAGGACCCAAGATAGTTCCAGTCATACTCAAGAAACTTACTCTCTAGCAGGCTTAACAGGCTCCCATGCTTTTGATATCTGTAGATTAGGAGCATCTCATCTCTCGAACAATGGTACCCAACAAGGGGGAGAATATTTGGGTGCTTGAGGTTCCCTATCTTAAGCATAGTTCCTCCAAATTCTTCAATTGTAACCTGCAATTTCTTTAGTCTTTTAACAGCAAGAAGAGTACCATCTCTGAAGGTCACCTTATAGAGACTGCTGCAGAGGCTCTGGCCGTGTAGCTCAGCTGTAGATCCAAGAAGATCCTCCATTTTGAACCTTTCACTCTCTTCGACAAAAGACACAAGCTCAGATTGCTCCTCCTCTTTCTTGCTTTCCCTTTCTACATCCCCCATGAGAATCTTGATGGGGGATTCCTGAATATCCTCTTTCTCTATCTTCTTACCATTCCCTTGTTTTTCATCTCTCTTCTTCCTCAATATTAACATAAGCAAGATAAAGGTGGCAATTACCAAAAGCATTATAGCAAAACCATTGTACCAGGCCATCTTGTGTTCCTTAGGAGGAGGAGGAGGAGGAGGAGGAGGCCCTTTTTGTAATTGAAGAGGCGATTGAGACAAAGCATTCAAACTCTCTGAAGCTTTCAAAAATTTTGAAATTGTAACAGGTTTTTTTAGGCCATATCTGAATTCTGCATGTTTTCTCGAACCAACCCTTTTCATAATCAAATCATCGGTGTATCCTGAGAAGTTGTTATTTGAAATATCCAGGCTTTGAAGCTCAGACATTGCTGATAGTGATCGTGGAATTCTTCCACGAAGCCTGTTGTTACTAAGATTCAAATGGGTCATGCTTTTACAATCAGATAACTCTTCAGGTATGTTGCCTTCGATATAATTCCCAGCCAAATTCAAAACCTGCAAAGATATCAATTTGCATAGAGAGAGAGCATCAATTCTTCCTCTGAGTTTCTGATTCTCAAGCCTGATCTGTGTCACACTATGGGTCTCTAAGTTGCAGGTGATGCCTAACCAGAGACCTGAGCAACAACTCGATTCGGTTCCATTCCAACTAGTAAGTAAATCCATTGTGGGATCAATTGATTGCCTGAAAGTCATCAAAAGATTGGTTTCAGATAAACCATCTTCGCCGTTTAGCGAGAGAAAGAGTGTGAGGCTCATGATGTACATGAGCCAGAGTTGCAGGATGATATCTCTAGTTAGATACATGGTGTGTTCTTTAGGAGATAAAATTAGAGGGAAGAAAGAGGAGTCGTAGTTTGGTATGGAGATGGTTGATATTGTGTTTGTCAGTTGGAAATTGGAACTACCAATGCAGAAGAGACATAACTCTTCATCGATTCCAAAGCCTTGATTCTATTGCTGTTGCAATTTATAATCCTTTTTTTCAAATGTTGATTTGGTGCTTTTGTTTTTGCCTTAGATAGCTAAGCACGAAACTACTATATAAGAGCCCACAAAGAAAAGGATAATGGAGAATTTGAAGTTTACAAGGTGGAGGTTTGGAGCTACTGAACCTCCTTTATAGTAGGACTTGGTTTCTATGAATCCTAGGACTCATATGTAGAAATGAGTCCCCTCTTAAAAATAAATAAGGTTTAAAAATTAAAATGATAATTTCTTAGAACATTAGTTTTAACATTTTTTAGAGGGACCACACATACGCATCCATTTTTAAGATGGAAGTTTTATGCCTTGGGGGATGCAAATGTAGTAATGCATCCCCCGATGCATGCAACTATTTTCCTTTATAATATATTCATGCACACTAAGAGACTTAGGAGTAAAGTGCTACAGTAGTTCACTTATTGGCTCCTAACTGTCAAAGCAATTGAGATTTTATATGCCTCCCCCTTGTCCACCTAAAAAATAAATCCTAAAAGATAACGATCAAATGCCACTACAATATTTCGATAGCATTTGGCTATTTTATTTTTTAACATATTGTTTTATAATTTTTTAGGTGTGCATGGGTGAAGAATACAAATCTTCAAGACTTTAGTTCAATCTGATCTCTAAAAAACAACTAAAAGTTATAAACTTGCACTCAAATGCTTGGAACACTCCACTAAAGATTTTCTTTTTTAACATAGAGCACATACACTGCTCCCTTGGGACCATAATTTACTTCTACTTGCTCCATCAATAGACCTACTTGGGAGGATTTTTTTCAGTTTTAAATTTTGAGAACCACCAAAGAATCACTAGATGATTATTCTTAAAGTAAAAAAAAATTGAAATTTGAGTCTTCTAATACGTAGAATCACTAAAAACTGGATGGTCTCTATTCAATCTTGAGACAATTTTTTTCAAATACATAGAAGATGCAATTAGGAAAGTATTTATTGAGCTTAATCTATGGGTCAAAGAAGTTACATCGTTGGGATCCTAAAATTAATTCTAGGTGAGATTTTACCTAAGGGAGTAAATGAACATTATACTCCCATGGA